AAGAAAGAAAGAAAGAAAGAAAGAAAGAAAGAAAGAAAGAAAGAAAGAAAGAAAGAAAGAAAGAAAGAAAAGAGAGAGAGAGAGAAAAGAAAAGAAAAGAAAAGAAAAGAAAAGAAAAGAAAAGAAAAGAAAGAAAACAAAACCCAAGTCTGAATAAATGAATGGGCATAATGATTATTCAGTAAAATTCCCAGCTACTTCTCAGACAACTTTTGTGAGGGAATTTTTCACATTCTTCATTTTATCTGGATGACTGCTTTAGTAATATAAAGGGTGCTGTGGAAAAATAAAAGAAGAAAGTAGGAGATATATTTTCTACAAGATTTTATATACATAGTTATTTTTTCCTGATTAATATAATGTATACCAAACAGACTTAAAGTTTGACAAATATACTACAGTGCTGAGATATATCATACTCTATTTAAAATGTCTTAAAAGATGAAGATATCATCATAAGTAAGTATATCACTTAAAATACATATGTATATTTATATACACATATATGTATAAACAAGAATATTTCAAATATGTTAACAAAATGATTTACTTACCATATATCTTGTGAGCAAATGTAGATTGGTTCATGCATTATAGAACATGGTATGGAGGATTCTAAGGTTAAAAATAGAACTACTATAATGCACCAGCAATCTCTCTCTGCATATGTACTCCAAAGAGATCAAATCCCCTCCTCATAAGGATATCTGCACTTTCTCATTCAATGTGGAATTATTCACAATCGTCAAGACAGAAACAACCTAAATGTCTGTCAATGGATGAATGAATAAACAATGGTGTGTGTGTGTGTGTGTGTGTGTGTGTGTGTGTGAAGATATATGTTAGCTCTATAATACAATAAAATCTTGCTATTTGTCACAGTTGGATGAACTTAAAAGATATGATCTTTAAAAAATTAGATGAAAATGTGATCTCACATATGTGGAATAAAAAATGTAACAATCAACCCATAGCTAATAAAGCTATCCTGTACTTTTATGTATAAAGAGTAGACTTTTTGGCTAGCGAGATAGCTCAGTGCACCAAGTGCCAGCTTAGGCAAGAATAAGGACCAGGGTTCGGTCTGTTGCACCACACACCCCGCCAGCCCCACCCCCAGGCATGCTGAGCTGGCCACCGAATCCAGGTGTGATGGTGCTGGCCTGTAATCCCTGCACTTGGGAGGCTGAAAACAGGATGATCGCTATGAATCAGAGCTGCATAGTGAGAACCTGTAACAAAAACACTGAAAAAAGAAAAAGTAGAATATGGCTGTTCTTGCTCTAAAAAGAAAAAAAAAATGACTAAGATGATGCATATGTTAATTTATCTCACTATAGCTACAGTTTTCCTATCCTTTTGTATCCAGTAATATTGTCGGTCTTGTGAATGCAAAACGAAATTTATTTTAGAAATTCTATTTCATGACTAAAAATAGCTTACTAGTAAATGAGTTACCCTCCCTTTTTCCATCCAAAATTTTAGTAGTAAAATTTCTCCCAAACATGTATCAAAGAAAAATACCAACAAACATGAGAATTAAAAATATCAGATAATGAGGACCAGCCAAATAGTTTAGTGGATTAAAGTGCATGCAAGCCGGTGGTGCAGGGGCCCAGGATCAATCCCTGGGCCTGCTGTGCAGACACTGACCCCAGGGTGCTCTAAGACAACAACTGGGACTGGGCGTGGTGGCGCATTCCTGTAATCGCAGTTCTTGGGAGGCTGTAAACAGGTGGATCACTATGAGTATGATCTAGGAGTGAGATCCTGAACACCCTGTAGACCCTTCCCTAAAATGCAAAAATAAAATGAAATAAAAATATCAGATA